TCATCATCATCATCATCATCATCATCATCATCATCATCATCATCATCGATCATCATCGATCATCATGAATCATCATCCTGTAAAGTTTCAATTCGTTTGTTCAGTTGGGTAAATAAGATTGATGAAGGTTGATAGCATCGTGACAAGATTGAGTAAGGGATCAAACAGTGATATGTTTTTGCTTTCGTCGCGGCTTCCCTTTTTTGTTTTCTTATAGATTGAGTAAGGGATCAAACAGTGATATGTTCTTGCAATCGACGTGGCTTCCCTTTCTTGTTTGCTTGTAGAATCTTATAGGGAAACTGCTGAAGTTCGTGAACCCCATGTGACCGACAAAATCACCAGCTGACAAAGCCCAGGAAAGCGGCTTACAAGGAGCGGTGTGCCGGGAAGGATGGTTCTGACACGCTACATCTAGACTCTATATAACGAGTCTAGGAGCACAACTCTAATTGATTCGATTGAAGATGACGAGGATCAGAATATGTATGAGTGTTTCTGAGTCAGGATCAATATGTTTGAGGGCCTTCAATTTCCCAACAAGGTGTCCATCCAGAGCTACCATTTGTCACCCTCGCAAGCCTTCGCTGCCCGGGCCAGCCAAGTTTGACCGGAGCTCATAATCCAGCATCCAGGAAGAAGGCCTTTGGCTCCAGGGTACCGCGAGACTGTTTGCTGTCAGCTTGATGCAAACCATAAGCCATAAACCTTACCATGGGAGCACATTGAGCACACCCATTCTATAGATATATATAGATATTATACACTATATAGAGTTGTGAAGTCGGGTTTTAGCCAACCATTGGAAATCATGATTTATTTATTTAGCAAAAATGTTGCAGATTTATTTAGAGAGGGGGCAAGCACCTGGGAATCTATAGTGCTTCACATTAGTGAAATAGATTAGGGTGGGGAAAGCAGTCTGAGACAAGTCCTGAGATATCCTGAGATGCCAGAGAGAGAGAGAGAGGGAGAGAGAGCGAGGGAGCGGGGAGCCCTGAGACAGTTGCGACAGTCACTAAGTCGTTTAATTGAACGATGGTTTCTTTGCATGGCCCTGATGTATCCCAGCTTCCTGTCTCTCGGTGGCCCTATAAGTCCTCGGTCCTAGGTCCTAGCTAGTAAGTAGCTAGCAGCTAACTAGCTTATAGGCCCGCTCTAACTATTTGCAGTTTCCCTGCCCTGCTCTATGTCTCTCACTATTGTGTTCCACTAATATTTCCCACCTGCTAATGGATTTGCTATTTTTTTTGGCTATTTCCTCGAAAAATAGCAAAAAACTGCCATATCATAACATCCAAAATAGAGAAAACAAATAGCGACTCTGAAACCCTCACACAATAGAATAGAAGAGGAATAGGCTGGCAGCGGAGTGTGACCAGTGACTACAGTGTAGACGTCCTCGAACCCAGACTTGGAAATGACAGTGAGTCTAGAGTCTAGTGACTAGTTCAAACATCTTCAGCAAACATCTTCAGCACAAACTCTCAGTTCAAACATCTTCAGCACACATATGACCTCTCTTTTTAGGTTTACTAAACTTTTGATGGTGCTATTTCTCTCTCTAATTAGGTTTACTAAACTTTTGATGGTGCTATTTCTCTCTCTAATTAGGTTTACTAAACTTTTGATGGTGCTGTTTCTCTCTCTAATTCACTTAGCAGTTATTTTGCTAAAATAATCTTTTCATGTCTACCAGTGGTTCCCTGAGCACAGCTTCACAAATATAGAGGTATCATATGGTCTTCATTGAATGTTTGCAAGATCAAGGCTGACTTAGTCACCCACAGAGCAGTTCAAACTGCAGGAGAAGAAGCGCCTTGAGGAGCTCGAAAGGCAGAAGCGGATTGAAGAGGCGCGATGCATCATGCGTGCCAGTCAAGTCTGATGAGAATTGGGAACGTCCGTGAGATGTGCCGTGCTCCCTGACAGCCCAGAACCAGCCTGTTACTTCAAAGGATTTCATATGTACTATTTATATAGCATTCCTGCACATATATATATATATATACACCCTGGGGGACAATGTGCATTTTGAGGAGAACTACCCCAAACATTGTGCTGATTCTGATGATGTGCTGCAGTGCTTCTTTACTGCTTTGGAACCAGGCTGTGCAGAAACCGGCCCTTGTTGGGCGCTCCTGACTCCTACCCTTCAAATGTGTTGCCCTCCAGCAATGCCTTCCATAGCGACAGGCCATCCGCCGCCGAGAAGAAGAAGAACAGTCACTTGGTCGCTCAAGCGCGGCATTCCAAAACAATCCCATGCCGATAGCCACCAAGTCCTCAGCTGGGGCGCCAGGCAATAGAAAAACAAGTCATATTGCGAACGCCCCAGGCTCCCGGTCCTCCAGTCCGCAGTCCGATCGACGGTCACGAGAGAGGCGTCGCGAGATCGGTCGCCAGTCGCCGAGGCGTCGCTTGGAGCGTGGTGAGGTCGAGTCCGAGTCCGGGCTCAGCGACAGCGAAGACGAGGCGCTCGGCGCTCGTGGCGTTGGTTGCGGCTTAGCATGGCTGCCATGGTCACTGTTCATAGTCTGGGTATGGCGACTCTACTTTGAGAGGCCCTATTTCCTGTTGGGTGCTGGACTCGTGCTGACCGCGCATGCCCAGCAAGCACCGGCCCGCTTGTTACCTTGGGCCCATCTCAGGAGGTGCTTGACACGGCCAGTGTGGACACGGAAACCACGTGTACTCCCACCAGCTTCTTGGCCACAGTCCGTTCAGGTTTGAGATGAGGGCTGGTGGTGTGGGTTGTTTGGGTATTTGCTTTTCTGCTGCCCGTGGAGTTCTGCACTGCAATTCTTTTCTTGTGGCCAGGTGTGGTGTTTGGTCTCCAAGATTTGTGTGGTGTTTGGTCTCCAAGATTTGCCAAGCAAGGGGCCTGACCCATAATATACCCGAATGACATTCACCAAAAGGACACGAATGTCGCATTTCTTGCGACATTGTGTGTGTGTGTCTATGTGTGCCCTTTTGTATAAGAATGTTCAAGAATGTGCGATATTACCTCGAGAATCTTGCGGCGTTTATTCTCGCCGTCATTGCAAACACATATTTTGTGCGGCAATTGAAGAAACACACCGCTTTGCCAGAAACACGCTGCATTCCCAGAAACACACCTCGACTTGCTTTGAGCAAGCTTCACAAAGAACACCCTGCACACAAGCACACGGGCAAGCACGCCGACAGGCATACGGGCAACAAGGCACCGCAAAACGCTGCGTTGTCCAGACCTTCGAGTTGAGTAGAAACACGCAATCCGAGTCGAAGAGGTCCTCGGACGCCGCGTCAGCCGCTTCGGACAGTCGCAGCATGTTGACTCCACCTGTTTCTTTTTCCACGGCATCGATAGGGCTCCATGCTAGTGGAGTCTGTAGGTATATTTCAACTATGTTCAACTAGTTGTTTGTATAACTAGGAATGCCAACCAGACAACGCTCGAAGATTTCACATGCCCTATATAATATGCTGTTTACGATAGTGACCACAGTTCGTGCAGGGGTGGCTCACACAGACACTGACAACTACTTTGGTTTTGTTGATTCCCGCGACAGGATTGTGCAGACACAGTGGACCATCAGCAGCGTGAAACCAGCATGTGGAGTTCTCATGGGCCAGGGAGTCTAGATAAGTTTTGTGCGGATAAAGGCTCGATATAACATGCTCAAACCAACCTACATGAGTTCCCATATTTGTAGAGCCTGTGGCCTGTGAGTGATATTCACATATAAAGTTTTATCCCGGGCCCCGAGACTTCATTTGGTCCGCCCTGGTACACTCCAATGTGAAGTTCTCAGACGATTGTCCAAAATGTTCAGGGCGTGTTTACTGATTGTGTGGGCACCATGTCATCAAAAAGAGAAGTTGAACTGATTGACACGAATCAAAGTCATGATTAGTGATTAGTCATTCAGAATCCCGAGCTGCCACTGCCATGCTTGGAGCGCATGGCAGTGGAAGACTCCTGGCCTAGAAAACTGGACTGTTGGATTTGAGAGCCAGTAGCATCATCCACAGTATCATCATCCACATGTCAGCCACATGTCCAATATTGTCCATTTTCACTTATGCCCCCTTGAGAAGCGTCCGCTGCTCCGGCCGCTGCTCCGTTCCACTCCCAGGCTCCCAGAGCGCAGCGACAACGTTGAAGGTGCGGCGGCCGAAGGACACACTGATGAGCTCGGACGTTCTTCAGTTGGCCGAGAAAAGGGGAAGGACCACCTGAAGGAATACTCCCCTCCCTATACCAACTCACAAATGAAGCCCATACCAGCATCTTGGAAAGCCAACTACTAGTATCCCAGCGAACGAAACTTGGGACTGTCAAGTGCCCCACAGTGCGGGACGCCTGCCTGTCAGGTGCCAGAGAAGGAGGCCACCCTTGCCAGCACCGGTGCTGTGGCCAAGACCTTGCTCCACGAGCTCAAAGGCGGGGACAGGTTGATGGAAATGGATATGATATACTGGATGGAAATGGTATCGCCGTAGGGCCGTAAACCGTAAGGGGCACAATGTTTCACACTTCCATGTTCGGTTGGATAGAACAAGAAACCCATACGCTGCTTGCAGACCTCCTGCTGGCCTCACACACAGGCCTCCTAGCTTGCTTGTACAGTGGAGCTTGAAGTCGGGCCGCGAAGGAAGCAAACCCTACTTGAGAGTGGCAGCTGGCTTGGAGGACTAGCAACCACCAAACTCCACTTCGGAGGATGAAACCTAAACACCAGGTCGTATTTGGTTTCAGGGATGGGCCTAGTTGCGCAGGGGGTGACTATTCTTCTTTCAAGAGGGGCGGTGATGTGCACATCAATCACGTAGTCTTGAAGAAAGTGGTGCACTTTGGAGGACCTCGGTGGGACATGTTTGTTCCTCATGACCTTCTCGAACGAAGCATCGCCACCCGCTGGTTTCCGATCATTTTTGGGTCGGTTCCGAGGTCAAGTAGCAGAAGATGCACAGAACTCCAGCCACAAGATGACTGGGTTTTCACATATGTTCACTGCAAAATCCCTTGAAATGGTTTCACCATGTTTCACCCCAAATCAATGCCCTGCCAAAGGCTTCATGTTTTGGGCCCCTCGACTCCCAGGCCTGGCCAGCGCCGAGAGCCTCGCGGTCCTCGCGCGGGGCTCCGCCTTGTCAGCCGTGAGGCCGACCGGGTGTCCCGAGCAGAAGAACCAAGATGAGCTGAATGTGACGGGTCATATGGGGTGGAAATGTGTGCGGAAGATATAGATGGACAGTTAGATAGATAGGTAGATAGATAGATAGGTAGATATATAGTTAGATAGATAGATAGACAGATAGATAGATAGGTAGGTAGATAGATAGATAGATACTGTAGATAGATATAGATAGAGATAGATAGAGATAGATAGAGATAGATGATAGAGATAGGTAGAGATAGATGATAGAGATAGATAGAGAATTTTAGAGATAGATAAATAGATAGATAGGTAGGTAGAGAGGTAGATAGATAGATAGATAGATAGATAGATAGATGTGTATATGAATATATGCTTGGGAATCCTACCCCGTTGATAGTGAAAGCTGCTGTTTTCTGTTAAACTTTTTTGTTTACTACAGCTGGATATCGTATTTTCCAGTGCTTTGCACTCGCGCATTGTTACACGCCTCATTTTTTCCCTCTACTGCTTTGCAGGAGTTTGTGGTGCCAGGGCGTCCATTAGGATGGCAGCTCTTATTTTCTGTCATTCTTCCTTTGCGACAGGTCCTTGAAAAACTGAGACCACCACGGACATCTTGTGCACGCGCAGTACACAGTGCGCGTGCAGGACAGTGTTGCGGGATTTGGGGGTCGACCCAGATAGTCAGCAGGCTGACGATGGCTCCTTTTTTTTGGCTCATGTGTCCAGACATTGTCAAGACCAAATGAAAGAAGAGGAACTCATCAAGGGTCAATCCCATCGATTCTGTTTGAGTATGAGGACTTTCCCCAAGGTCGATTGTCGATTGCGACCCACGATGGTAGTTGCTTGTTCTGTGGCCGGGTTGCTAGCGGCCAACGCAGTGGATGTCCTGTGAAGGCAATGCGCAATGCGCAACTGTGGCCTCGATGTAGTCACCCAATTGAGAATTGGCCCTTCAGTGGGGCCTATAGAAGAGGCCTCGATGACGCTGCCTTCGCAGTAAAGGCCCTTGAACTACCGGGGCCTTTGGGTTGTAGGGTCAGCCGAGTCAGCCGAACGGCTTCAGGACGACAGGACGATGGAGGAACGGCTGATGGGCGGTTTTCTTGGCACTTTGAGGCCGGAGCGACATCTCAAGGAGTCCCAGAAGGTTGATGAGCTTGGAAGATCTTTCAAGGTGTTGTGACTGGTGGTGATAGTGTGTGATTTCTGCCTCAGGTTGTGCAGGTGGTTTCGGTTTCAGGTATATATAGTTTCATGTCATGGTTCAACTTCAGCGATGGCACCTATAGAAGATGTTTCAGATGGTGCCTGGACTTGATTAAGTGTAGACAGGGGGGTCCGGGGGTCCCACGTCAAACTTGTTTCAGGGCCCTCGCGCCCGTCCCGCTTTGCGGTTTCAATCTTCAGAACCGGGTTTGATACACCCGTGATCCCGAGACCCGCATGGAACCTGAACATATCCGACTATCCTTTACAAACCGGACCTGGTTTTCGGGTTGCATGTTACATATTGGTTGATAGTGTCATACAGTTTCGGTCGTGCCAGCCCCGGTTTCCCAAGAGCATGGCCATGTGTCTCTCCACTGCGCACTGCGGGTCGTTGAGATGTCACCGAGTCTTTGTGCCCACGGGCAACCCGCGGACGCGTCCGCGGACGTCAAAACGAGGATTTAGGTGGAAGGTTTTCATGGTTTCGTTAACCAACCGATGCACTAACCAGATAAGAGGGAGAGAGAGAGAACAGTAGAAAGACCAAATCGGCCAATGAATTCATTCTGCACTCATTCACCTTTGGTCCAAATTCGTTCACCAACCTAGTTAAAATATATATATAGTTTCACGAATTAGGACCGGACCCAAGCAAAGGGCTCCATAGAGAGGTTTCCAACCAACTGACCAAAGGCTCCAGTGTTGAGACTTCAAACCTGGCATCACCACATGTCCCGGTCACCGGGAGTTACAGGGACTGACATGCACAGCTTTAGACAGCAAAGGTTGCTGCAACCTGGCTCAACTTGGCCATGAACTTGCCTTATTCTCATCCTCACCATCTTAGGAGACCATCACAGCAGCATAGGCATTCAGGGAGGTGGAACATGTTCGGCCACACGCTCTTGAGGCACTCTCCTTCTTTAAAAAATTACGAAACAAAGACCTTCTCTCAGCTCGCTGCCGAGTGTATCCTAAGAAGTTGCTTGCAAAACAGAAGACCACTCTGTTGCAAGCAAGAGCGGTTTCAACTCATTGTGGAAGCTGGAATCTTCCAGTTGTGGATGGGGGCGAAGATGTGCAAAGCAAGGCGTCGCTTGTTTCAGAGCTCAATTGCTCAAATTGCATCTCTACATGTTGCATTACGCATCCCTTGCAGCGATATCACTCCGGTTTGTGGCGGAGTTTGTCAAATGTGTTGTCATGTGTGTTGCATCGTGTGCAATTTGCTTTGTCGAACTACCATTCCAAAGGGACTAGGAGTTCACTACCAATCGCCCCTTGACACATCAACCACAACAATACCTAGTACCAATAACAATAACAAAAAAACAACGGACCAACAGCACGGCAGACATAAACAAATATACAGCGCATGCACATTTACGTCGAAATATATCTATATTTATTCAAATATGCATGTTTAAGTTATGTTCAGTTAAGTATAGAATACAATTGATGTAGATGATGTTACATTCTTCTATAGTGCCAGTACTGGTCATTGTTGGTCATTGTTGGTGTCAGTCCGCAGTGCTGAGTCCAACTCTTTGGGTGACAAGTGTCGGTAAACCAAAGGGGAGGTGATGTCATTCGACAAGGAGATGTTAGGCAGGCCCATGTTGAAAGTGCTTCATATTCAAATCATGAATGGTGAGCTAAGAGCTTAGAACGTAGAGGTGAACATTGCAACCTTAAACAGATATATAGAATTATATATACATAGAACCCACTAAATCAACCTGCTCCATGCACGTAGTCACATAGTCTTGCCAAAGAAGGACCCTTGAATAAGCACTTCAACACACACACACGCACACACACATATATATTTATATAGATATAATTAAATATATAATTAGATCAAGCAAGTTGTCGCCCCCATTTGACGCCTACACCTTTGCGACGCCCAATCGGTCCAAATATTCTGACACGTCGGACAGCGGCGCTCTTAAAGAGAGGCGCCGCTCTCCGCGGACGGTCCCAGTTGCCAAGAATCGGTCAAATCGTCGAGCCAGGTTGGGTTGATCGTCTTGTTGATTATTTTTTAGTACCCTTATAAAACCTCTAAAACGTCTTGAAAGAAACTGCCATCTCAGGTCTTTTTAGCGATGTCATGTTCAATCTGGGAAGCTGTAGTCCGTTATGTTTCATTGCGACAAAAGAGTTTTGAGGGTATAGGAAATGGTAGCACCAGAGCGGCTAGGTGCTGGAGCCTGACTGCCAGGAATTCTGCACAAGATGATTTTCACAAAGAGTGTTTTGGAGATTCACGATTGATCTATGCATTCCCTGTTCTTTTGTGAGGGCTCATATTTGCTGCCAAAGGCCGATTCTAGAGGTTTATAGGGGGAAGTGCAAGTGCCTGTGGTCAGTTGTTTGCGTGTTCTCGGCCATTCTTGTAGTCCACGTCTTTCTGAAGAGATTGAGATTAGTGTGGTTTGGACTCACCAGGTGAGTCCCAGGTGTAGGTGAAGTGTGGAAGGTTTGAGGGTGGCAGGCGTTTGGAATTGTAGCGTTTCTGTGTGTTTTGACCTAAGTCACACTTGAGTTTTGCATGGTTTTCGGGACTTGGGTGTTGGTCAAGATTACAAACTCCAGCCCAGGTTAGATGAACGTCCGCAGGAACACCATCCGCTTGATTTGTCGTGAGGCATAATGTTCGGGGCTTTGGGCGATTCGGCAGTTGGGCATCCTCTCCGCATGTGAGCTGCTGGCCCCCATGTGAGTGATCTCACCCTTGCAGCGAGGAGCCTGATGTGACCGATGTAGCCTGCATTTCTTGCTGACGGAAGATCCAACATCACTCCCAATGTCAATCATGAGCCACGCTCAACCAGTTTTTGGTATGGAGCTTGACCTGCCATTGTAAGCTCTTGGAACCAAACATGCATGTGTTGCTGTGCTTGCAGAAGCTAGGCGTAAGCTGGTGAGCAAATCAAACGAGGCGAGACAGGCCCGCCGCAAACCATGGGTTCAGTTCTTTGATGCGCTTCTTTTGCTGCCTCTCATGGGGGTCGCTTCGCCGTCGGCGAGTGAATCAGGGGCGGAGCTGAAACCAGGAGCCACTTGAAAAGGCAAGCACAACTTGAGAAACACCGACATGTTTCTAGGCGACAGGAGTGGCCAGGGAGTACAGTCTATTCTGGGGCTTTTCTTGTGCATGAGAGGGCAACATTGGCTCTGTTAAGAAAGTAGCAGCCAACCAGTGTGTAGAGACCATCAGAGACCCTCAGATGGACCAATGGATGTTTGTTTAGGCGTATTTGCTGTTTTCTGGAACCTACTGTATATATCGACCCCCCTGTCAGAGTTGGTAGAATTAATACATCAATCTAGCCATACGTGCACCGAATGGCACAAAGACGGAAGATAAATCAAGTGGACAGATGTTCAGACAATGACAATGTCTATGAGTTTGGTCCTGATCCAACAAAACAATTGGCACAACAAGTAAGTGTTATTGTATGAAGCTATGTCGGCTGCATGCCACTCCCCGAGTTCCTGGCAGTTCTCGAAAACATGTTTCGTTGTGTGTTCTTCACGATGTGTCCGTTGGAACGATCAGATCCATGTGTTCATTGAGCTTACTTGAGCTTTCTTGATTGAAACCCCTTGGATCCCAACAGTCCTCGTTGGTCCTCTCAAGTCCTCTCCAACCAGTCAGTGCCCGCTTGTCATGCCAAAGACGGGTACGGTGCACGCTGGCCTAACATGGATCCTTACATGGTTCCATCAGTAAATCTTGCCACCAGTTGCTGAGCCTTACAATGTTGTATACAGACAGTATACAATGTTCTTCTCCAACGGGGAGAACAACACATTTTTGTATAGACCAACTACTACTGCTTCATTCGAATCCCTACGCCCGCCCTAACTAGCATCATACAGGATGAGTAGTCCAAAGCCTCAATGTCCATTCAGCTTCGGACCTGCGTGATCTGTTTGCTGACTTTTCCGCCGCACCCAAGTCGCTACCCTGCCTGCCGAAGGGAGAGGAGGGTCAGGTCGAGGTTGATGAGGTCGATGGATGAGTCGTGGGATGCGAAGCAGCGGATCCGAAGGTCGTTTGTTCCAGCACGGTGACGTCCAGGTCGATCTGGACATACGTGGACAGCTGGTACTGTAGGCAGGAAGAGCCTAGTCACAGCCCAGATCTTCAGCCTGGCCAATGCCATCATGGATCCTAATTAATATTAATTGATAGGCTCCGCATAGGTATCGGATGAACTGCTGCATATTGTTGGAAGGTATCGGGCTTTCTGGCGCAGAATCAATGAACAAATTAGGCGGCTGGCTTGCTGGGCAAATGCTCAGGGCACAGGCCAATTGAGACTTGGAGTCGCGTTCGAGATGTCAGGGGACTCAAGGAACGGGCTGAGCTTGCAGGTGATCTCCAGATCAATGGTTTATAAGAGCCAACTGACCGCCACAGAAGAGAAACAAATACTGTAAAGATGTTCAAGAAGTGCACTGAGGATAGTCATCAGTGCTGATTGCAATTCCTCAAGTTCAAGCCTGTCGATTGAACTGATTTGTGGCCGAACCAAGCGGGACACACTGAGCACGCCGCCGCGGCCGCTTTCACCGTCGCGCGCTGACCACAATACCAGTACAAACGATGTCGCAACACTCTTGCAGAAGGGAAGTTGGAAGACTCGTTCCAACAGTCCCCCCCAAACCAAACAACACCTATACAATTAATATATAAATATATCCACCTATCCATCTATCATATCAATCTCTTGGGGTGCCCACGCCACCCAAGAACTCCTCAAGATGGACTTTCTTGGAGCCTTCCCGGTGCCGGTACACTCGATCCCAGTTCACTCGGGGCCTCAGATGATCCATAATACCTAGATACCATCGATTTCAATCAAAACATAGATGTATCGATATAGCCCAATGACCTAGACTTTCTGTTCCTGTCATCGATCCACATATCTTGATT